CTTCAGGCCCAAATTAGATCAATAAATCTCAGTTATGTTTCTATGTTGAAACTATTAGGAAAAACTATCTTTCGTCATCTTGATTCAGTGTGAAAAGATCCTACTTAAGTATAGTCAATGCAGACAGAGTACGATAAAACAGACAGGGAAAATTCAAGCGTGGATGATACTGTTTGAGACTCCAGATCCAGTTATCCCCAGAGCTGCTTCTCTTTCAGTTCCAATTAGTTTGAAAAGTATCCTTCTCCCTCATGTTTTTGGTTCAACTGATCTTACCTGGGTTTCTGTCATTTGCAAACTGATCAGGTTAAAATTAGTTTGGGACCGAGAAAGTAAAATCTTGCGTGGCCATTTATCAGTTGGAATAACAGAAAGATATAGTTAATGCTAACTCTGCAAGGAAGAAGACACTCACACAAGGACACACTACAGCTCTAAGGTGTCAGTACAACCCCCTTCTTGAATGAGTATGACTGTTTAAAGTTCTGTCAGTAAAAATAAAACATTCCATTTGTGCATGCAGGATTTAAGTCATTTTGACACAGAGAAAAAGCCTCCAGGAGCAGAACTTTAGATAATGAGTTTCTGCACACAACATTGCACAGCTACATCACTGTAGGGTGAAGGGAAACAGGACTCTGAGTCTGTTTTGCTGTCTAGTCTTGACTAGACTTTACAAAGCCCTACTTTGCTTTGAGTCTAGCAAAATACTGTTTTGTTTAAATTTCATCCAAACTCCACTCTTGCACAAAACTCTGTAGCAACTTACGTTTTCCTTTGGTGAGACGAACACTGCAGTGGGTAAATACACCTGATTTTGTTAGACTACAAGTAGTTACTGGTGGGTTTGGTTTGGCTAGGATTGGGAAACAAAAGAGTTTTTAATTGTTATAGCTCTCTCTCCCACAAGAATTCTTGAATTCATACTGTTTTTATAATTAGAGATCAGGTCATTTAATCATCTGCAAAGCAAATCTCATGGAAATTTGAGACTTTGACGCAGTATTTTTTTTGAAGCTGGACTCCATAGCCTAGCTACTGACGGTAGGATGCCTGTGACAGAAGCATCGGTATCATTGGGAGCTTCTAAGAAAGGGAGAATCTGGGGCCCATCTCTGACATGCTAAATCAGAATCTGATTTTTTATGATGATCCTATGTTATTGTTTGCACAAAATTTTGAGAAGTGCTGCTCTGGACAGTCCTAGGAGTTTCAATAGAGCCTCTCAGGAAAGGTAGGGAGTAGGGAAAGGGAACACAAAGCCACTGGCCTTTCGCTGTGACAGCCATCCTGTAATATATTGCTTTGTGATTTCATTTTTCTGTAAATATCCTCTAAAGTAAAAACTACTATTTTAAGCCACATTAAATGAACTCATCATTTTGTGTGTGTATGTGAGAGAATAAGGACTGTTTGGGGTGTACAGGGGAAGGAAGAATTTTACTAAGGAAAAGCTTGGAATGCAAACAACGCCCTGACTCGATTTGCCTGTCTGTGTGGAGATGGCTGCTAGCAGTAGCTGCTGGCTCTTTTAGACCACACACACAGGAGGTCCTAGAATGATTCTAAACAACAGAACGGGAAGTGTGGGTCTCTCAGGGCCCTATCTTTATAAAAATTAAGAAATCAACTAGGATAATGTCTTGAGAGAATGAGAAGCCAAGAAGATAAATTTGACAAGAAGAAAGTTCTGGTCCTTAAAGAGGAGTGGTGATTTTGAGAATAGCATGGTGGTTGTCATTGGAATTCATTTCTGACTCCAGGCCATAGATGAGAGAGAAAGAGAGGGGAAGGGGGAGGGGAATGAGGAGTAAGGGAGAGGGAGGGAAAGAGAGAGAACCAGATTATAAATGATATGCCTGCAATCCTAGCACCTGGGAAAGGTGAGGCAAGAGGATCACTTGGGACCAGGAGTTCAAGACCAGCCTGGGCAACATAGTGAGTGAGACCCTGTCTCTACCAAACATTTTTTAAAATTAGCTGAACATGGTGGCACATGCCTGCAGTTCCAGCTACTAGGTAGGCTAAAGTGGGAGGATCACTTGAGCCCAGGAGCTTGAGGCTGCAGTGAGCCACAATTGTACTACTGCACTCCGGCCCAAGCAACGGAGGGAGACTCTGTCTCAAAAAAAAAAAAAAAAGCTTCCACTCCTCTGATCTTAGGTAGTTGTTAGAACACAATAGCCCTATATTTGAGCTCCTCTGTTAGAATGTAACATAAAGAGAGGACAAGCATTTCCTCACTTAGCTCTACCTGGCCACAGGCCAGCTACCCCTTTAGTCCCCGAAGACTCTAGCTTTGTAGGATGCCCAGCTGGAGATAAGCAGTGCTAGCTGGGCAGATTGCTGGGTCTGGCAGAGAAAGGGCAGAGACTAGAGACTGTAGTGGGCATCAAGATGAGAAAGAAGCACAGGCAGTAGCCAGAAGTAGTAGAGTTTTGTATCAATCAAACAGAAAATAATGACAAAAACTGAAATTACTTTTGCACCAACCTAGTATCTTCTGGGCACTCAGAAAAGCATGGGGTAAGAGGCAGTCATCCAAGAGGGTATGTGAGCAGAGGTTTTGTGTGGGAGCAGGAATCTGGAATTTTAGTTAATATATGCAACCCCACATGTATCCACAAGCAGATGAAAAATTTAAGAGATTTTGGGAAAATTTAACAAGACGTTTTGTCGAGGCTCAAAATGTACTTCCTCCCCAAATCTTTTCCAGCTCTTTAGAATAGATAAGCCAAGTTCCCATGGTTGACTATTCTTCATTAAGATTTAGAATTACCTTTAAAACTAAGAGACAGGGTCTTTCTACTCTTGTAGAGAACAACATGCAGTGTTTTTTCCCCTAAGTTCTACTCAGTTTCTCAGTATTTCTCCGAGGAATGCAATAGGTAAAGGTTACTGCCTCATTCTTTTTTGCACCCTCGTTACCACCTATCAGTACTTAGCATGTATGTGACCCGCATCAAGCACCTGTCCAAGTTTGATTGGATCACAATCAGCCACACTTTCATCATTTCCAAACATAATTTAATACCTGCTATGCCCTAGGAATACAAGAATATCTTACTTTCAGTGCTTAAATCAAAGGCTAATACTCTTATAGTCCAAAGAAAAGGATTATTGGTTCTAAATTAAAATGTCCTGCCTTATCCGCATGCAATATAGAAACCAGTCTACAGGCACATTTTTCTTCCAAAATGAAAGAGCAGAATTTAATTACGACTGGGTGGTTGTGTTGAGGCAAAATATTTTTTCTTAATTGTTTCTCAGCATAACCCTAGGAGGTCAAGCTTACACATTTCTATGAAGAAGTAAGTGCGAATAGAGAATAAGGGTTCTACCAAAAAGTGCTTTGGGAACTGCTAGCATTGGTGTTGTCGAACACTGTCCTCCCCCGTCACTATGACACTAAATCCCACTTGTTAGAGTTTAATGTGGTTTCAGTGTGGTTCGGCATTGCCTAATAGCTCCGGTTGTTTCCAGGAATAGTTCTATCCACAGGACCGAAGAGTGCACAATGGTAGCAGTGTTCATTACATTTAGGTTCACTTCTTGCTACTTAATTCCAGTGCAGACATTATCATGGCTAACTACTAAGAATATACATTGAACCATGTGTTGAGAACTGATGTTTTTTCCACCTGAAAATAATTATCTCCTTCAATTCCAGATGATGTTTTTACCCCTTTGATGTAGGAAGCACCATAATTTTTACCTTATGTGGAGGAGATACCTCTTTTATTTATGGAGTCAGCTTACCTGAGGTGCAGAAGTCTACTTTTTATCATCTCAGTGGTTCCATCAGCCTCTCCTGAGGAACAAAGGTAGTTTCTTCAGAAGCCTGTAGGTAAGGGGAGAAAGAAAAAGGGATAGAGCTCTGCTATTTCTGTTTTAGAGCTACAGATAGGAAGTGGCCACCAGCTTGCACCCTGTACATAGTGGCAAAGTTTGTGCCAGGCAGACAACAAGAGTCTACTCCTCATTGCCTGTGGTCATGACCAACCTATTTCCAATTATGTGCATTTTGGAAGTTGTCTCTTTCTTCTCAGGCTTTCAGGAATAACTGTGTTCAAACATTTTTATTATCTGGGGATGTTACTTTGAAAATATCATTGAGAATGAATGCTTTGCTTGGAGACAAAATAGTGCCACATGTTAGCTCAAGTGAGAGACTACCAAAGATGTACTTTGTCCATTTTCCTAGGAAACTTTTAAAAACTGTTTTATAGTGCTTAGTAGGGAGCCCGCCACAAAGTAGGCAAATGTTTGCTGAATGACAAATGAATAACAGCTCTGATGAAGCTACAGCAACATTATTTTAAGGACACACAGATAGAGTTATGTGAAGTATTATTTGCAGACATACACTACTTCTTGAATATAGAAATCATTACAGCTTTATAAATAGAAATCTTCTAATGTCATGAATCTACTAATGTATATTAGTAGAGTCTTTGAGGCGGGGTCATGTCTATGCTCAGCCCCAAAGATCATCTTGGACCATATTTATTTGCCTCACTCTTTTTGTAATACTATTACAATGCTTAAATTTTAAGTATGATTTAAACCCCAGCAGGTAGGGTTTACTTGGTGAAATATAAAGGCAATTCCACTTCAGAAATAATGTCTCATGTGTCAGGTACCATGCAGGCTCAAGGAAAGTAGATAGATTTCCTTCACCCAAATCTTTTAACTCTGAAATAGTGTTTTATAATGTTAATATATTATGTTACTATAATATTGCTACACTGATATGGGACTTCTTTATACTATCAGAAGTGTATTGGACATCAGATACCGAACTTTTATATAGTTGCAATCACAGCATTGCCTTTATTGGTAGATTATATATACATATTTATGGTGAAAACCCTAATACGATGATTCACATTGTTAAAAAAGAATTATATTTTCTGATGCTGTGAATCATGCCCTATTTAAGGGATCCATTTTTGAGCTTATAATGAAGCACTGATGAATATTAAAATAATAAATAAAGATAATTGGTACCAGGACTTTATTAGGCATTTCACTGAATACAAATAAACTTTTTTGCATTAAGAACACAATCTTATTAAAAAAAATTCACATTTGCTATACAGACTGTAGGCATGGATTTTCTTTACACCACGTTTATTAAAGTATCAATGACCAGATCCTAAAAAGAGAAGGCACAGATCTGTCTCTCTCTGGTGAATTTCTGGTGTGTAATGAAGGAAATGTCACCAGCTCTGCAAATTCCCATCCTCCAGAAATGAAGAAAATCAACACAATTGTGTGTAAGCAGGAGTCATGAGATGGACATGTTATATTAAGGGATTTGGATTTTCCTATGCCACTTATAGGAAATTTCAAGAGAGGAGGTAGCTACCAAAAATGTTTCAAAAATCCATCTACATTCAGGCTCTGTCAAGGATTCACTGTTGGAAATAACAGTATTTGAAAGCTAGAAGTTAGGAATTCCAACATGGTTCTATTTTCTGCTCTGCTTTAGAAACTAGCCTCTGATGTCACTGTTCTTATTTTGAGGCTTCTTGGGTTTTCAATTCCAAAAAAAGTGCTGGTTGTTATCATTTGCTTTGACAAGTCTCTCTGCCAGGTGATAGCTTCATGTCAGGGTGACATTCTGTCCCGCAGCCTGCCTCCCCTGCCCCCCAGCAATGTCCTAAGGGGAGGTCACCAGGGCAGTGTCTATACCTCAGACTCTCCTGTTCTTCCAGCAGTGAAGACAGTTCCTTCCTATGCCACCTTTTCTACAATTCCGTAGATGGCGAGTTTTAACCTGATGAAAATAATTTGTGGTAAAGTGTTAATGAAGGGAATAATGAATTAGTTTGTTACCTCTCTGAAAGAAAAAAGAAATTGAATTTAAAAGAGGTCCTGGTACTAGTTAGTGGGGTGCTGCCACTTTTCAGGAGCATTTATAATATGTTGGCGTGTTTTTGGTTGTCCCAGTTACTGGGAAATGCTGCAAAAGGGATTAATGGGGAAACTTGGACCTCACAACAGGCTGGCAAAGGGAAATGTTGAACATGGTGGCATTAATCTTATGAAGATATTTGCTTGATTATCCCATCTGTATTCGAGTTGGTCCTTCAAAAAGCATTTTCAGGACCTGGAGCTGACCAATATTTTCCTTCTTGAAGGACATTATGTCTGCAGATATTCATGAGGTGTCTGAACACAGGAGTATGGAGGGAGCTAGATCTCACCCCTTATACCAGCTGAAAAAGATAGAAAGGCAGTGTGGATAGAATTATAAGATTTAGGAAAAAATATATAGGACATACCCAGTTACTTTGAATTTCAGATAAACTTTTTTAAAAGTGAAAGTATGTCTGATAAAATATATGAGAAATACACTAAAGAAATCTTGTTTATCTGCAATTTAAACTTCACGGGGTATCCTGTATTTTACCTGGCAACCCTAAATACTGAGAAGGAATAACTAACAATAGAGAAAGAAAGGAAATAGTAAGTTAATTAATATTCTGTACCAAAATGCCAAGCCCAGAGAAGGTCACAGAAGTTTTGCTTCAAGCATGACCACATGTGTAGATCCTTGTTAGTCATGAATTTTCTATTGCTAGACTACATGTGGGGCAGACAGGAAAAGTGTGAGGGTTTCCGGCTTGCTTTTTTTGAGAAGAGAACCATGTTGGAACCACCTAGTATGGATGGGCCTTTAAAAACTCCCATAACACCAAGGGAGTTCATTTTACTTGAGAAAATAGAACTTCTAAAAGTAATGGTTTGGAGAAACCATTTTTCATGGAAAACTTATTAAAGAAAAATGGGTGCCAAGTTGGGAAGGGCAATTTTAGAGGTGCACTGGTTTTGTTGCTGATGAAAACAAATTAGTCTGTATGATGACATCATTAATAAGTTAATTGATGTTTGACTATTTCAAAAAGCATGGGGTGCCTCACAAGCTGGACAGTTTGCTTGTGGGAACACAGATAGGTTCTAAAGCACATTCCTCATAAAATTAAAAGAAGCTATTTTTAACAAAAACATTAATTTCAGTTTCAGTTTTAAATCCAAATTGCAACAACAACAAAAAAAGTGTTAATAAATTAAGGCTGGTCACAATGTGCCCTTTTTCTTTAGGATAAGTTTGATTTTTGATAAGATATATACTTACACACACATACCACATACAAGCATATACTTTTGACTCATACAAATATACATTTAAAGCTAATATCTACAAAATAGTATCACAATTAAAAGAACAATTACACAATTTTCAACAGATTCAATTGACATGTTTTACAAATTCTACAGAACATTTTATCATTATCATTGGGAAAACAATTAAGAGCATTATTTAAAACTGTATGTAACACAGGAGCCACCAATAAGTTATGGCAAATATAGCATTTACACCATGGTGTCACTGAAATCTAGCTGAAAAGACTAAAGTGCTATAAAATAAAATGCTCTTACAAACCTTGTTTATCATATCCTGAGGACACTGTGCATTATTTTCTATTAGCAATTCAAAGTGTGAGCACTCTGCCTATGGAGCTCCTGTTTGGTTGAGCGACCAAAGATTAAAAGATTGTGTTGTTGGATCTGTAAAACTGTGAAACTAAAAAACTCATGGAAACATGCATTTCCTGAGACTTCCAACTTTCCAGTCTGGAATCCTAACAAGGAAGAACCTGAAGAAAATAACCCTGGGTAAAAACATGTTCGAACTTCAAAGAACTTAAAACAAGTTTAAGTGAAGATGTGTGTGTGGGGTGTGTGTGTGTGTGTGTGTGTGTGTGTGTGATTTATATTCAAGTCCATCTTGGATTCTCTAATTTGAAGTGTAATTGACAATGTAGATAAATTGTTAGGCCAGGCATTTTCTATTTCTGAAAGTCTCACTTTTCATTGGTTTTCTAGTTACTTTTCTCCTCTTAAATAAATACTTAAATTAGATTTGTATCTACTAATGTAGGAGAAATTGATTTTAAAAGTAGAAATGGCAGTAGAATCAGATTGATTCGAGTACAGTTTCAACTTGAATAAGTGTACGTGTGTGAAGTGTGCATTCTGTGTGTGTGTGTGCGTGCGCACATATAGGTGTATACATGCCAAACATTTTATACTCCAATACATTCACTGTTAGGTGGCACTCCATGAAAAGTAAGTTTTCCCAGTATGGCTGAAAGTAAATATTGAGGTCATCATATGAATATCCTAAGGCTTTTAAAAGATGCCTCCTCATTCTCTGCATTTACGTGACTGTGTAGTAAATAGGGAGACATAAATGATGATGGCAGAAGACATTTTTGTTATTTTAGTCCTTGAAAATCACAGACAGGAAAGCAAACTTAAAAATGTTGTTCTTTGCATATCTTCTCTCATCCCACCCACTCCTTTGATTTTCTGCTGTAGATAGGGTAAAAGTTAGATTTTATTTGTCTGGTGGTTTTGTTTTGTTGCCTCGCAGGACTTGTGAAATAGTCTTAAGAAACAAGCAAAACAAAAAGTGCACCAAGCTGTGTCTACTGCCATCTTGGGGCCGGTGTGTAGCCCTTGTGCTACAAACTCTGAAAAGACAGAGCCCAGCTAAGACAAAGGAGCATAGGCTGAGGGTAATCTTTGATTGTATATCACCATTTGTTACTTTTGGAAGTAACAAATGTGCTCCAGGGCAGGGCTAATGGACAGAAGACACTCAAAGGTACCCTCTCTCCATTCCCCTTTCCAAGGACTCTCTCTTAGTAAACTCCCCATCTAACTGGAGGACCCATGGTTCCCTTCTACCTCTTACCTCCTTTCTAAATTAAGGCAAGTCCATTTACTCTCAGTGCCTGCTACATAGGCACTGTATGTCCAGTGGAAACCACAGCATTGGCTTGAAAGTGCCTTTTGTCTAACAAGGTTTCTGGGTGCTTGTCATTATTAGCAGCAATACAAAGCTTTCCCTAGTTAAAAATCTACACAATTATTCTAAAACTTTATCATGTTTTTTTCCAGCACCCAGTTGACAAATAGGACAAAGTTAATTCTAAGCAAACACTGTAAGAAAGTATCTAGGTTCAAGAAAATACAACATAATTACCTCTATATTTTATTCATTAATAAGATGAAAAATCTGTTTTCCATTATATTTATAAAATTAAATTTATGTGTCACTGCAAATAAGCTTGGCTAAAGATCCTCCTGAAGGATGAATGAATAGCCAGTTTGAGGAAAAAGTCTGCCTAAAAACCAAATTTGTGGGACATGCATTTCAGTAATTCTAATCATTTTGCAAGGATTCATATACATTTGCACATAAAGAACAGGTGTAAGAAACAGAAAGATAACAAAACTGCAAGGGAAGAAAGTGGAAAGAAGAAATATATTTTGAAAATAATGAAGTCTTACATAGAATTTTTTACAAAAATATTTTAATGTGATCATCTACTCTCAAAGGTCTTATTACTCTTTTTCACACATTAAGGGTTTTAGTCTTTAAATTATTTAATATTAATGTTTTCATTTAAAAAGAATTGTACTGTGTCTGTATCTCCGTGTGTTTGTGTATGTTTGACTCTGTATGCTTGCACAGGAGTGGGCATATGTTGGCATATTGTATATGGCAAGATGTGTACACACAACCCGAATGTATAAACACAATTTTGTGTGTACATGTATGCTGTTTGGTCTACCACAGGTAGCACACCCTCATAAACATTCTCTTCAGTTTAAACAATTTTGTTTCCTCCCTTTAATTGCTAATTAGTACTATTTTCTGATCATAAGTATTTATAATTTTGAAATCAACTCGATTATTTATGATCTTGACATATGTAATCTTGAATTCAATTATTTCCTTATCTAAGAGATGAAGCCATATGTGCTACATTTAAAAAGCTGAGGGCATGCTTTTATTTCTCTATGACCCTACTTTGCATGGACTGTATTGTCCTAGGAGACTATTGAGGTGTAATTATTTCTAAATATGAAAATAATTCATAATTGTAAGAATTTCATCAAATTTTATAATTTTTATAAATACCTCACAATATTCTTGTGATGTACATAGGCAAGGATTATTGTGCTCTTACTAAGATTTTTTTATTTTTTAGAGTTGTCAAATATCACAAAGACACCAAGTCAGAAGCAACACTCAGGCTGTGTCATTGTTCTTCCCAGTAGACACAGAGGATTAAATGTTAGGTTGTAGAAACTGTGTGTGAAAATTTTGCCTCTCATCCCTCAAATAGGATGAAACTCAGATGTGAGGATTCACTGCCAACTTTAAAGAGGTCCACTCACATCTCATAGATTTCAAGTTTTGTAAAGATATTTCACAGAACCCTGTAATTTCATGGACATAATTTCAAAAACATTGCTCTAACTCCTTCTACCAGCCTCTCTATTTCATCAAGTCAAAAACTTGAAGTTTCTTGAAAAATCTTCCTTAAAATATGGAGTTAAGATTAAATATTTGGAAATCCCCAATTGGCAGGAAAGCTTGCAGTCTTTTTTTCCTTTTTTCTTTTTTTATAATAATCAAAGGAGTCATTAAGAGGGATGTTTAAAGAGTTGTTTTCAGAGTTTTCAATTTTAACATACTTGTCATACCTTATTATTTACTGGACACTTGCAGGGCCAGTAAATATTCAAGAGATTGCCAAGTTAAAATGCCATCCATCTCTTTCACCCCTCAACAATTTTTTTCTTCTCAAGTTGGCATTCACAGTTCTTCCAAAAATGTTTTTATCCTATAATTATAGCTGCCTTAAATAGAAATACTGTGAAACACTATTATTTTCATATAACAAAAATCACTGATTATGACCTCCAATATTACTGATGCATGAAAACTGATTTGATGCAGATTTTCTATGAGCAAAAGATGGCTATGATTGCCCAACTGTGGATGACCACAGAGTATTATACCAAGTTCCACAAAACAAATACATTTTAAGACAACAATGTAATATACAAAATGTTGGGCATCCAATTGTTTTGATTTCCATACAGCATCTGATTAAAAAGAGCGAGCAACAGAGGGAGCAGAAAGGTTCAGGGTACAGTCAGTGTAGGAGCCTTAGAATGAAAGTAGAGAACCTAATCAAGTAAACACTCATGAGTTCTACGTTACAAAGACTAATTCTGAAAAACAAATTTACTGGTTTTTGTTTTTTTTTTTTATCCCTAACACTAGAAGTAGATTTCACTCATCAAATGGGAAATGAAATATTTATAGTCATGAAGAATATGCTTGTAATCAATGAAGAAATAGTTTTCCCCTTTTCCCACCTACTACCAGCCCTATTCCCTTCAGAGACTCACTAGAATAGGAAGATCAGAATGTTTACAGATAATGCCTAATACAATGAGTCTTCTCCGTCTTATTCATGGAAACTCCAAGTAGTGTTATCAAGTGTTGGCTTCTCCTTCATCAAAGACATAGTTGAGCTTTATGACCGTGCTGATAAAGTCACCAAGTTCTACAAAATCGGCAGTGACAATATTGATGCCACTCTCTCCTGGCTTCTGGGTGCGGACCCACTGCATCATGGCAGGAAGAGCTCTGAGAAAGGAAACAAAAAGAAAAATCACAAAAGGTAAGATACTATTTTTCAGGCTCTACAATTCTCAGGCTTCGCTTTAGTCTCAGCTTATTAAAATAAATGTTTCATGTATAGGTACAGAAGGGGGAAAAGGTAAAATAGACTCTGGCGATTTCTTAAATTTTGAAGAAACTCAGCAGGAGCAATATTCACTATATTGGTGTCCTCATCTCGCAGATCCCAGATACTGTGATAGTTTATAATAACGCTTTCCTACTAAGAAAACAACATTATTGCGTTTGTATTCTGATTTGACGTGGTGTCATCACAAACCCTGCAAAACTATGGAGTGGGGAGGTCAGAGATGAACACATACAACTTAGCAAACATTTATTACAAACCCACCATTATGAGGAAATGTGCTAACATATTGTAAATAGACATAACAGTAAAATTCCCTGCCTTCAAAAAGTTAATAGTTTGGTGGTAGGCAGGCAAGAAATTGTAGCACATACAATCAGGGCTCATTCCTTCGGACACATTTACTGGGCACCTATTAAGTTCCAGTCATCTCTGTAGGCACCTGGAGAACTCAAGTGAAAAAAACAGATAAAAATATCTTTCCTTGTGGAGCTTACTTACATTCTCATAAGGAGAAGCAGACGATAAACAGTAGTCATAAAAATGTGTAATTGGATAGGAGAGAGTATGTGCTATAAAAATGGAGCAAAGAAAGGAAGATTAGGAATCTGCAGGTGGGGAGGGTGATGCAGATTGCATTTTAAAATAGGATAGTTTAATAGGCCTCATTGATTAAGGGACATTTGTGCAAAGGTGTGAAGGAGACACAGGAGTTAGTCATGTCGCTATCTAGGGAAAGCATCCCAGCTATTGCCTTGGCACTAAAGGGGTAGTATGTCTAAGTTTAGAGAAAAGAAGAGAGTAGTCTAAAATGAAGATAATGAGGAAAAGGTGGCAGATTCTGTAGGGCACATTAGGCCATTGCAAAAGTTTTGATGTTCACTCAGAGTAAAATAGGGGGCCTTTGAAGTATCTTGAGCCGAGGAGTGGTGCGATTTGACTTTCACTGTAAGAGCTCAATTCATAATCATGAGATAATAGTGGACAGTCACCTAGCATAGCCTGGCAAATGGAGAAAAACCTTTCAGAAGGACCCGTAAAATAAATATTGTAAGATTAGGAAGATGTAGCTGGTTAAAAGTCAGAGGTGGGATGGTAGATGGAGGATTATGCGATGCATTTTCAGGCAGAGGAAGTACCATTTTTTCATTTATTGACAGAGTCATAGCATGTGCTTAGGAGCAAGGGATCCAGGCAGACAGATACAGGAGATGTAAATGATGATGTCCAGCATCTTCTGGAAGCATATTGGAATGAGAACTACTATAACTTAGGGCAGGAAGACAGGTTTCCATGACAAAAAGGATAAACAAAAAGGTCAGAGACATGATTGTGTTTTAAAAAGGAAGTTTGAGGGAAATACATATGAACATTAAATCCCTGGATGAAATAGAGGGAGAGAGGAAGAGAAAAAAGGGGAAAGAGAGGAGAGTTGAAAAACCTGGAAGAAGTTGTATAAGAAAGGTAAGGTAGTTTTTAAAGAAAATACTTTAAGTTCTGGGGTACATAAATGTGCAGGTTTGTTACATAGTTATACACGTGCCATGGTGGTTTGTTGCACCCATCATCTACATTAGGTATTTCTCCTAACGCTATCCCTCCCAAACCCCCTTGGAGTGTGATGTTCCCCTCCCTGTGTCCATGGGTTCTCATTGTTCAACTCCCATTTATGAGTGAGAACATTTGGTGTTTGGTTTTCTGTTCTTGTGTTAGTTTGCTGAGAATGATGGTTTCCAGCTTTATCCATGTCCCAGCAAAGGACATGAATGCATCCCTTTTTATGGCTGCATAGTATTCCATGCTGTATATGTGCCACATTTTCTCTATCCAGTCTAAGTCTTTGCTATTGTGAACAGTGCCACAATAAACATATGTGTGCATGTGTCTTTATAACAGTATGATTTATAATCCTTTGGGATTGTAAATCCCAAAATGGGATTGCTGGGTCAATTAGTATTTCTATTTCTAGATCCTTGAGGAATCACCACACTGTCTTCCACAATGGTTGAACTAATTTACACTCCCACTAACAGTGTAAAAGCATTCCTATTTCTCCACATCTTCTCTAGCATTTGTTGTTGCCTGATTTTTTAATGATCATCCTTCTAATTGGCTTTAGATGATATCTTATTGTGGTTTTGGTTTGCGTTTCTCTAATGACCAGTGATAAGCTTTTTTTCATGTCCTGTTGGCTGCATAAATGTCTCCTTTTGAGAAGTGTCTGTTCATATCCTTTGCCCACTTTTTGATGGTGTTGTTTTTTTCTTGTAAATTTGAGTTCTTTATAGATTCTGGATAGTAGCCCTTTGTCAGATGGGTAGATTGCAAAACTCTTCTCACATTCTTTTGGTTGCCTGTTCACTCTAAAGATAGTTTCTTTTGCTGTGCAGAAATGCTTTAGTTTAATTAGATCCCATTTGTCTGTTTTGGCTTTTGTTGTCATTGCTTTTGGTATTTTAGTCATGAAATCCTTGCCTATGCCTATGCCCTGAATGGTATTGCCTAGGTTTTCTTCTAGGATTTTTATGGTTTTAGGTATTATTTTTAAATCTTGAATCCATCTTGTGGTAAGGCACTTTTAAAGATGTTAAAGAGAAAAAAACCCAGACAATAGAGAGCCTTGAGAAATATATTACAACTGAATTGGGAAGCTGAGCAAGATGCTGGAACAGAAGGCTCCACATCCCCCTGCAAGGACATCATCTCTTCTGCAGGTATACAAAATTAACACTATCTATATAGCAAAAAAAAAAAAAAAAAAAAAAAAAAAAAACCACCTTCATAAGAACCAAAAATCAGGTCAGCACCTATAGTATCTGGATCTAACTTGATATCACTGAAAATGCTACTAAAAAATAGAAAAAGCAGTCCTGAATCACTGACTCCATCCCTCTCAACCCCCACCAGCAATGGCCTGGTGTGGAGAGTATCTCTGGGCTCTGAGGAAGGGAGAACACAGTAATTGTGAGTCATTGAACTCAGTGCTGTCCTGTTAGAGCAGAAATGAAAACCAGTCCTAACTCAGCTGATGCCTGGTCACACAGAGAATATTTAAACCAGGCCTAGCCAGAGGGGAGTCGCAGATCCCAGCAGTCAGAACATGAGTGCCTGCAAACCTCACCACAGAGGGCTACAGTGTTCTTTGTCTCCAAGTACATTTGAAAGGCAGTCTAGGTAATCAGAACTGCAACTCTTAGGTGAGTTCATACTAAGATACCAGCTTGGGTAACCAAGGGAGTGCTGGCATCATCTCTCCCCTAAACCCAGGCTGCACTGCTTGTTGTTTCAAAAGATACCCCTTTCCTCCACTTGAGAGAAGAGGGAGAAGAGTGGTGAGATTTTTATCTTGCCTCTTGAATACCAGCTCAGCCACAGCAGGATAGGACACCAGTGAGAGTCATGAGGTCCCTGTTCCAGGTCCTAGCTCCCAGATGACATTTCCAGACACACCCTAAGACAGAAGGTAACCCGCTGTTACCTTCTGTCCTAGGGTAAGAAAAGGACCTAGACCTGCCAGCTTTCATCACCCACTAACTGAAGAGCCCTTAAGCCCCAAATAACCAGCAGAGATAACCAGGTACTACATCTTGGGCCTTGGGTGAACCTCTGAGACTTGCTGGCAAGTAAGACTCAGCACATTACTAGCTATAGTGGCTTTGGGGAGAAACTCCTTATTCTTGAGAAAAGCAGATGGAAAAGTAAAGGGGACTTTGTCTTGTACCTTAGGTACCAACATGGCCATGGTGGGTGGACCACCAAGCAGACTCCTGGAGTCCTTGATTCCAAGGACTTGACTGTTGGATGGCATTTCTGGATCTGCCCAGGGGAGCCCACTTCCCTGAATGGTGAGTCTCAAACTAGGCAGCATCTACCAGAAGCAGACTTAAGAGATCTTGGCCCTTATGGGAACATCAGTGGTTGTCTGGAAGTACTCATCATGACTAGGGTGGCAGTAGCTATAGGATGAGGCTCCCGTACCTTTGGAAAGGGGAGGGGAGAGTGGTAAGGACTGTGTCTTGTGTTGTTAGTGTCAGCTCAGCTGCAATATAATAGGATACCAGATAGACTTCTAAGGTTTTTGACTCTACTCCCTGACTCCCAGATGGCACTTCTGGACCCACCCAGGGCTTGGAGGTCCTTGCCATCCTGAAAGGAAGAATACAGACCTGGCTGGCTTTGCCACCTGCTGACTGTACAGTCCCAGGGCCTTGAGAAACCATATGCAGTAGCCAGGGAATGGTTACAGCAGGCCTTGCATGAGACCCAGTGCTTTGCTGACTTCAGATCTGACCCAGCCCAGTCATAGTGGCAGTGGCCACAGAGGTGCTGTGTCACCCCATCGCCAGGTTTAGGTGTTACAAAATTATGTAGGAGACTGTATGTTTGGGAGAAAGTAAGAAAAGAAAACAAATCTCTGCCTGGTAATTTAGAGAATTCTCCCATATCTGAACCAAGACCATCAAGGTGGTACATCTACAAGTCGGCAGGAATCACAGCATTACTGGTCTTGGGGTGCCCCCTGAGGCAGATACAGCTTGAACAAAACATCCACATCTTTCCAATTTCTGGAAGTCTACCCTGAGAAGGATGGCTACAAATAAGCTCACACAGCAAAGACTGGAATAAATACCTGACTCCTCAATGTCCAGACACTGAAGAATATCTAACTAGCATCAACACCATCCAGGGAAATGTGACCTCACCAAATGGACTAAATAAGCCACCAGGGACTAATCCTGGAGAAACAGAGATATGTCATCTTTCAGACAAAGAACTCAAAATAGCTATGTTGAGAAAACTCAAATACATTCAAGATAACACAGAGAAGGAATTCACAATTCTATCAGATAAATTCAACAAAGATATTAAAATAATTAAA